CTTTGAGCTACAAATCAGGATCCCTAGCCATGCTCCCATGAGAGTTGGAACTTGCTGCTCAGTATGTATGTTAATTTTATATTTTATGATGGTTCTATTCAGTTAGCCTTTTCTGTTTATACAATAACTGTTTGTGTCTTTACCTTCTGGTTTCTTTGTTTGGTATGGTTCAAAATGTGATTCTGTCATATCTGATACATTGTAGTGGGACTTGTACTTTTTAGAAAATACACATAAAAAGTAGTTTGAATATATAACTTTTAAAATTGTTTTAATCAAACTTTTTGGTCTTTAGTTTGGATTTTTTATATAAACATTTATTTCATTCAAATTTGTTATGTTTAGGAACTATTAAGCTATAATGCTGAAAAGAACTTATGACATTTCCTATCAGTTAATATAGTTTAAACTAAAATGTCAAGGTATAGGCTAAACAGGCTCTTGAGAATAAACAAAGACAAGAAACTAAATAGTTAGTGTTCATTTTGTCTGGGAACCACCACATCTGCCTCTAGGCTGAGTAATCATGACTTATTAGTGTGGTTATGGAAAGTATATATCATTTGAGTTGAGTGAATGAACAGTCTTCTTTAAGGAAAAAATTCTCAAATCAGATTGTTGGAAATCTCCCTTTTTAGAATCACTAAAAATCAAAACTATGAAGAAGCCTTTTATTTTACTGGATGATGTGTTTAATCTGTTGGGGTGCTTTTTTATCTGTATTTCTGGGATGGAAATGTTTTTTCTTTACCATGTATCCAGAAATCTCATTTTAGCATCCAGGGTAATTCCATTTTTGTTCACTTACAACTCATTTCTCAAGTTCAGCTGTAGACTGTACCTGTAGCCAGAGGCCAGTCATGTGGGGACAGCATGGACACACTCTTGAATTTTCTTTTTTTTTCTAAGTGAAAAAATATGGAAGTTTATTGTAGGGCACCTAGAGAATTTTCCTTTTTACTTACTGGCATCATATGTCTCATGTTTTCTAACAGTAAAGGTGGAAGTTACAGTTATTTTTTTTCTTTTGTTAATTGTATCTGATAGTTGGCTGTGATTGTATAGTGAGCAATTTTTCTCTTATTGTGCAGTTATTCTGAATACCAAAAACTTTTTTTTTTCTTGGCAGCTGGCTGGTACAGGGGTCCGAACCCATGACCTTGGTGTAAGAATGCTATGCTCTAACCAGCTGAACTAACTGGCCAGCCCTGAATACCAAAAACTTTAAGTTCAGGGTTTTTTTTTTATAGGATCACAAAATAATAATCCTTTTTCCTCCTCTGTGAAATATCCTTTAGGCACATAATATTCAAAGGAACAGTTGTAGATTTCATTGCTAATCATAACTTGTCAAAAACCTGAATAATCAAAAGCATTCTTTTTTAGGTATTGTATAATTATTTTAAAACTTAAGTGTTAATATTTATGCATTTCCAAGAATTAAAACCCAAGAAAAAAGAAGAGCAAATAATAAAAATTGACGTAGTTTTTTTGGTCCAGAAAAAAACTGATAGTTAATTGATTTATTGCTAAGTGTAGGACTTCATTTTTTTTAGATTTTATTTAAACACAAAATGCTTATTGTATTTAGGGATAAATGTACCTTAGATTTATGAACATCTTTTTTATATTAACATGAAACAAAGAAATTTTGTTATCTTGATAGCAGGTAGGATTTTTTTAATGTTTTATTTTCATCACCACATCTTATGTACTTTTTCTTTGCACCACACATTCTTTCACTGTGTAATCTTAAAAGACTCTCTTATACACTGAGACTATTTTCTTTGTAACTTACTCATTTATGAAACACCAGTGGAGAAATCTTTAATAGAAACTTTCACATTCAGAAATACTCACACAATATGGTTAGTAACAAAATCTCATGTGTGCGTGAGTAATTTTATTATACAAATAAAGTTTGTTTTGTTTTTTTTTTCATAGCAGCTAGTGGCTAGAGAGCATCTATCAATCTATGCTTACGGGACCCAGGAATTTATATTTATAACCAACTTCTCCCTAGATGACTCTCATTCAGACACTTCATCTGTGCATTTAGGAGCCATTGTGTTTAAGACTTCATCACACATCTATGTATTAATATATTTTAATGTATATGATTATTGTTAATTTGTAACATTTCAAAATAAGAAGAACAAAGCAGCACAAAAATTACTATAGAAAAATTACTTTAAAAGAAAAACTCACTGATACTGATTATACAGTTTTATTTTTGCTTTAGGATCTTCCTGGGAAAAATAAGTAAGGTAGTTCATCAACTCTTTTTAAGTAAGGACAAAAAGTGATATTGTCAACTTCTGCCTTAAAGAACAGGGGCTCAGGAAGTTTTTATCACAGGCGATAACATTGACAAATGAGAAACATGGATAAATAAAATTAAAATCAAACCAAAAATCAGATCTGTAGTTGCCAGGGGTTAAGATTGCAGGGAGGGAATTTGCTACAAAGTATCACATGGGAACTTTTTGCAGTGATGGAAGTGTTCAATATCTTGATTAGTTGTGATTATATGGCTGAATATATTTGTCAAAACTCATTGAAATGTAGACCTAAAAAGAGTGACTTACTCTGTGTAAATTGTACTTCAATAAATCTGAATTTTTAAAAAAATCAAGCTAGGGGCCGGCCCAGTGGCGCACTGGATAGTGCGCCGCTTGGGAAGCGTGGCGGCGCTCCCGTCCGAGGGTTCGGATCCCACATACAGACCGGCTCCCACTCACTGGCTGAGCGAGGCGCGGGAGCAACACCGGGGCTTGCAATCCCGTTGCCGGTCCCCGGTTGCCGGACATGGAAAAAAGACAAAAGACAAAAAAAAAAAAAAAAATCAAGCTAGGAAGAGATTCTGGGAAGGATTATTTTATCAAATTGCTAACTGCATCTTGAAATATTTATTTAGATAGAATCTGTTCTTTAAAAGCTAAGATTTTTTCTTGTACTATATAGTGATAATTGTACTGTTAAAATAGCATGTATTAATAATTCCTTTTTTATTAATATATCTTATCAGAGGTTTCTTGTATTTGTTTTATAGGGTCCACATATAGCTTCAGTTACATTAGCTGCTTATGAATGCAATTCAGTTAATTTCCCTGAACCACCCTATCCTGATCAGATTATTTGTCCAGATGAAGAAGGCACTGAAGGAACCATTTCTTTGTGGAGTATCATCTCAAAAGTTAGGATTGAGGCCTGCATGTGGGTAAGATGTACATTTTCATGTTTGTCTAAAACTAACCTTATCACCTTGATACTATGTTATACCTTACTGAAATGGAATCCAAACATATACCTAGTCAATAAATGACTTTTGAAGTCACCAGCTATGTACTTCCAAGGCAAAAGAAACCTTTTAGAGCTCTCCTGTTTGTGAGTGACATTCAGAAGAAAGGCTGAAGCCATATGTACCATGAAGTGACTGATGCCAAGTAGACAACAGCAGGGAAAAAGAATACTGTATAGAGGAGTAACTATACTATTTTGTAAAATTTGTTCCAATGTTTATATATCTGATAAACACTTAGCAAGTGGATGTATAAAAATCCTATATTGGTAGATGTTATGTGTCTCACTCCTGGGTTAAAATACTGTGTTTGTTCTTAGGGTACTCATTTCATTTTCTGAGCTGATATAATGCTAAACTAAACTCAGACATTTCTTAACATAAACCAAGCTTTATTGTAGTAAAGGTATCAGACTATATGGTTGTATAGTGATCTGACTTTCAGTTGTACCAATTATACTTTTTGTTGTTGCTTAAGTTTATTTTAGGAAATTTTTTGGACAGCATGTTCAATAGCAAATTATTTTAATCCATACAAAGCCTTTTTTTTTTTTTTCTATATGCCTAAATTCATTCAGGTATCTGTCATTCAGGAATAATTCATTTGTTAAAGACTCCTGTTACCATTTTAATTATTTTTTTTAACTCATCGTATGGGTTCATTAAGTTATGTTCCTGTAACTTATTTTTCCCTAGCAGTTTCTAAGGAAATTAAAGATTATGGAACAGATCATTTAAAAATCTTACCTTGGGCTGGCTGGTTAGCTCAGTTCATTAGAACGAGTGTTATAACACCAAGGGCAAGGTTTCAGATCCCCATATAGGCCAGTTGTCAGAAAAAAACTTAACTCATTAAAATGAACATGAATAGCATGCCCACAGAAGAGGCAGCATCTTGAAACACAATTAAGTGTTAGCAATTATGTTTTGCTTTATAGGAATTATAAAGGAAATGCCACATGTTGATTTGTTGAATATGAAAGACAGGAAAAATTGTCATGTTTCCTGTTGCTGTTTTATAAACACTGGAAACACATTCATCATACAAGTTGCATATGTTTTATAAATTTGAAATTAGTCTTTTGATGAAAAATGGTTAGAATAACAGAAGATGCTTGGAACGTGCTAGAAAAAGGACTATGTATGTAAACTTTGGTTTTCTGTTTTTCTTAATATACTTTTGTTCTTTCAAAAATTATTTATGTGGCTGGATTAACACTAATGCCAACAAAGGAAAAATTCTATTCTAGCTGGCAGTGATAACTACCTTCTCCAAATTCTCATAGTGCTTTATCATCTGTAGTGCTTATTTGGCCTTACTTCATGCATGCCTTAAACTATTGACCTGGCTAGTCTAGTAGCTTTCTTCCCTAAATAAAATTTAAGCCCTTTAAAAATATAGACTGTACCTTAAATGTATTACCCTCACAGCAATCAGCATTAGTTTTTGCATATAGTAGAGGAATATCAATAAATACTGATTTAATGGTCAAATGTTTGTTTTCTCTTCTTGTTTCCTTTTGTGGAATGGTCTCTTGTCATGTCAAAAATATAGCACACATCATTATATGTTTAAATTGGTTCCTATTTTTCTCAACATTTACAAGGTCAGCCTTTTCAACAAATGCTGCTGGGAAAACTGAATATCCATATGCAAAAGGATGAGGTTGATCCTCACCTTACTACACCATATATAAGAATTGACTCAAAATACATCAAAAACTATTTAAGAGCTAAAATTATAAAACTCTTAGAAGAAAATATAGGGACAAGTCTGCATGATGTTGGCTGTGGTTTCTTATATATGGCAACAAAAGAAAAAGTAGATGAACTGAACTTCTTAAAACCTCTTATGTGTCAAAGGACACTGTCAAGAGTAAAAAGGCAACCTACAGAATGGGAAAAAATATTTACTAACCATATATTTGGTAAGGGTTTAATATCCAAAATATTTTAAAAACTCCTACAACTCAACAACAAAAAGAAACAACCCAATTTAAAAATGGGCAAAGGATTTGTATAGACATTTCTGCAAAGAAGTTATGCAAATGGCCAAAAAGTACATGAAAAGCTTGATATCATTAGTTTTATTGGGGAAATGCAAATCCATACCACAAGAAGATACCTCTTCAAACCCATTAATATGGATATTATTTTTTTAAAAAAACAAGGGAAAGGAAAATAAGTGTTAGTGATGATGTGGAGAAATTGGAACCCTTATGAATTGATGGTGAGAATGTAAAGTTGTTCAGCTGCTGTGGAAAATAGACTGGTGATTCTTCAAAAAAGTTAAGCATAGAATTGCCATATGACCCTGATGGAGTTTGGATGTGTTGTCCTCCCAGAACTCATGAAAATCTGATCTCCAGTGTGGCAGTTTGGGTCATGGGGGCGGATCCCTCATGAATGGATTAATGCTCTCCCTGGGGGTTGGGGGATTAATGAGTGAGTTCTTGCTCTATTAGTTCCCACGAGAGCTGGTTGTTTATAGCACCCTGGCACCTCCTCTCTCTCCCTTTTGCTTCCTCTCGCCACGTGATCTGCTTGTACCCACCGGCTGCCTGCTACTTTTTGCCATGAGTAGAAGCAGCCTGAGGCTTGTGCCAGATGCAGCTGTCCCAGAATCATAAGCCAGATAAACCTCTGTTCTTTATAAATTACCCAGTCTCAGGTATTTCTGTTATAGCAACACAAAACGGACTAATACAGACCCTCTTCCAATTCCACACATACATAAATATCCAAAAGAAATGAAAACAGAGAGTCAAACAGGTACTTGTACACTGTTCACCAGCAGTATTCTCAATACTGAAAAGGTGGAAACAACTTTGTGTCCTTCAACTGATGGATGGATAAAGAAAATGTGGTATATACATTCAATGAAATATTCAGCCGTAAAAAGGAATGAAGTTTCTTCTGATGAATGCTACAGTATGGATGAACAATGAAACATTATTTTAAGTGAAATAAGCCAGACACAGAAAGAAAAATATTGTATGATTCCACTTATATATCTAGAAGAAGCAAAATCATAGAGACAGAAGTAAATAAGAGCTCTTCTAGGTATGAGGAATGAGAAGTTAATGCTTTATGAGTACAGAGTTTCTGTTTGTGTGGTGAAAAATACTGGAAATAGTGATCGTTGCACAGCATTGTGAATGCAGTTAATGCCAGTGAATTTTGCATTAATGGCACACAGTCAGAAAAAGTCAATAGTACCAAGATTGGGAAAACTTGATATAGAGTATTTGGTTTTTTGATTCTTATAGTTTACCTGATCCCATTTGTGTCCACATCCGTATATGTTTTTTCCAGGAGAATGTCTTGCTTGATTAAAAAATAGTATCTTGTTTAAAAAGTTTTATCTAATTTGTGCTTTGCAAATTAGAGTATATTTACACAGTTCACCATCATTATAAATATATTGAATCAGTAAAATCATTAACATACATAGTACTTCCAATTATAAAACTCAACCTCAGTTTCACCTTGTTCATATAGGTTTTTGGAGCACATAAAATTAATTGTTTGATATTTCTGATTAGTAGGATACCTTTTTCAGTTTGCATCTTTTTAAACTTCCACAATTTGGCTATTTCACCAGTGTAAGCCTTCTCAAATTTTCTTTTCATTCAGGAATTCTACAAATAGTTATTAAGCGTCTAGACACTAGGGATTCAGGGTGAATCCTGAATACTTTATATTCTAGTGGGGGAAATTATTATTATGGAAAAATGTGTATGTAAATACAAACTGTAATAAGTGCTGAGGGAGAAATCTAATGTATAGCACTAGAATTTGCCCTCATCCGAGATTCAGGGAAGATTTCCATGATGAAGCTGTGCCTCAGTTGAGATCTAAGGATAATAAAAACTAAAGGGGTGATGGGGTGAGGGTGGGGGTGGCAGCAGTTCAGGGGAGAGAAGAGCATTGGTGGTAACATTCAGATAGAGAACATAATAACCTTCCAAGGTCATTTAAATTAATGTTTTATTATTATCATTGTGGTTGTGGTAAAATATACATAACCTAAAGTTTATCATTTTAATCATTTTAAGTGTATGATTCAGTGACATTAAGTACGTTCACAATATGTGTAACCATCATCAGTATCTATTTTCAGAACTTTTTAAAATTATCCCAAACAGAAATTTTGTTCCTATTAAACAATAACTCCTCGTTCTGTCTTTGCCCACACCCCATAACCTATATTCTGTGCAACTTTCTGCCTCTTTCTGTGCTACTTTCTGAATTTGTCTATTCTAGGCTATCGCACTTTGTCTGGTCATTTTGTGTCTGGCTTACTTCACTTAGCATAATGTTTTTAAGTTTTATCCATGTTGCAGCATTGTCAGAATTTCATTCCTTTCTAAGGTCATTTAGAAACTGACCTCAGTTGAAGCTGAAAAAAAAAAATTTGGGGGGGGGGGCCGGCCCGGTGGCGCACTGCTACAGTGAGCTGCTTGGGAGCGCAGTGGCGCTCCCGCTGAGGGTTCGGATCTCACATACAGACCGGCTGCTCACTGGCTGAGCGAGGTGCGGGCGCAACACCGAGGGTTGCGATCCCGTTGCTGGTCCCGGTCCGGTACGGGCGCGACACTGAGGGTTGCGATCCGTTGCCGGTCACGAAAAAAGACAAAAAGGAAAAAAAAAATTTTTTTTCCTCTCTTCTATTTAAAAAACAATCTGGTAATTTTACAGAATTGGTATACTTGTTTTTTAAACATTGCTTCAAGAGCCCTGAATTTCTCAATGGTTTCAAGGTTACCCTGCAAACTTCTGATTCATGTGTGTAGTTGGAATATTTAATAGGAAAATGACTTCATGTTTAAAGAGTATTAACAAACTAATATAACACTACTATAATTTCTAAGTAGTCAGCATATATAAAAATTTCTGCTTTTCATATTTTCACCATTAAACTTATATTTCCCAATATAAAAGCAAAGTTCCACTGATTTGCTGTTGAATCCACTTGATGTAACTTTTTTTTTTTTTTCCTTTTTGTCTTTTTTCGTGTCCGGCAACGGATCGCAACCCTCAGTGTTGCGCCCGTACCGGACCAGACCAGCAATGGGATCGCAACCCTCGGTGTTGTGCCCACACCTCGCTCAGCCAGTGAGCGGGAACCCTCAGCGGGAGCGCCGCTGCACTCCCAAGCGGCTCACTGTAGCAGTGCGCCACCAGGCCGGCCCTTGATGTAACTTTTTAAATGCACAAAAATTCAGAATTTTTCTCCTCTCAAATATCTTTGAATAAAATTACCGCTGTAGGAAGATGCTGTGTTTATCGCTTGATTTGCGTATTTTATGCATATTAAACTCTTCTCTGCTTTAACAAGTAGAGATTTAAGGGTAACAAATTGGTATGTGGTTGATGGTTTTTAGGAGAACTTTCTGAATTATTGCTTGACTAAATACCACTTCTCTTTCTTTTGCAATCAGTAAGTCAGTCATTCTCTCCTCTTAATTAAACTGAGGCTGACAGTTTTTAGTGTTCCATGGTTTTGTATGTAAAGAAATATAAAGAACTTTATACAATTATTGTATATTTGAATTTTATAAAGAATTTTAAAATTGTTTTATAAGAATTGTGAAATTGTGAGACTTCAGTATCTAATTTCAAATAACTTAATAAATTTCTGTGTCTAGGATATAATGTGTTTTGTGAGACCAGTCTGGATGATTATTATTCCCTTTTAGTTATTTGCATAATAACAAAATACTGACTCGTGATTACCATTCTTATTTCTTGCTAATATGGGAAAATATTAGAATTAAATTAAAAGATAACAATAAATATGGTCAACTGAGTGTAAGACGGTATATAGCTCTTGATTTCATTTTAGTCTGCTATTTTACTTCCTTTTTAACTTTAAAGAAACTTGTCATGAGTTTGAATCATATGATTGCTTTCAGAACTATTGAACATTTGACTTAGCACTTGAACTTAAGAGGAGTTCATGTTTTGAATAAAATGTTATAATTAACTTTCCTTTCTACTTTTTATTTTGGAAAATTTTCCAAAAAGTGCAGAGAATTATAAAATGAATTTAATATACACTCATCCACCTTCAGCTGTTAGTAACTCATGGTTAATATTGTTTTATCTATACCTTTCCTCACTCTCAATTACCTTGAAGTAGATCTGAGATATCATACCACATTTCATCTGTAAATGTATTAGCCTTTAGGGCTTGAAAAACATTATCACGCCTGAAAGAAATTAGCAATAGTCTCTTAAAATCTCTTATCCAGTTAGTGTTCAATTTTCTTGATTATGTTTATTTTTTTGTTTTTCTTTCCAAATTTATGTTGAAGAAACTGATTTGTCAAGTAGTTTCCCATAGTCTGAATTTTACTGATTGTATTTGTTGACCTAAAAAGAAACTGAGACCAAATACATGTAGCAGGGATTTAGTGAGCCAGTATGATGATTACAACTGGGGAGACACATAGATCAAGTTGCCCTGAAAATGTGTTCCAAAAAGGGCCAGCAACCTCGTCAGCATTTATCATTGTCAGTCTTTGGGATATTAGCCATCCTAACTGGAGTGAGATGGTATCAGAGTGGTTTTGATTTGCATTTCCCGAATGCTGAGTGATGTTGAGCATTTTTTTATGTGTCTGTTGGCCATTCGTGTATCTTCCTTTGAGATATTGCAGCACTATTTACAATAGCCAAGAGTTGGAACCAGCCTGAATGTCCATCATCTGATGAGTGGATAAGGAAAATGTGGTATGTCTACACCATGGAATACTACTCTATGAAATACTACCATTCATAGCAACATGGATGGACTTAGAAAAAATTATATAAAGTGAAATAAGTCAGGCACAGAAAGAGAATAACACATGTTCTCACTTATTTGTGGGAAACAAAAATCAATAAATAAATATACAAATAAATGGTGGGGGAAAGAAGACAACAATCACAACAATTCCTTGAATTGTTAGGACAAGTGAACGGATATGATGTAGTTGGGAGGGAAGGAGAGAGAAGGGGGAAAGAGGAAAATGGGTAAAGGGACAAGAAAATCAATTACCATGTATACTGAGAAGTTAAAATAAAAAAGAAATTAAAAAAAAAAAAGAGAAGGAGGAATCACCATCGGAGGGTGGGAAGTGGTCGGCGGAGAGGCAGCAGTATCTCCTAAGAGCCATGGGGCTGTGTCCTGGCCTTGAAAGCAAACGGACACACAGACAGGTAGACCCAAGTCTCTTCAGCTTTGATGTTGATGGGGGGGAGGGGGGAAGAGGAATTGGTAAAGGGACACAAAAATCAACTACATTGTTTATTGATAAATTAAAATAAATAACAAAAGAACAACAACAAAAAAACAAAAAGGACCAGCAGAACTTAACATTTTATAATCACAAGAAGGGGGAAGGGTCAAAGGAGAGAGAAAGACAGCCCCACCTAATTATTTCATCAGGTTTTCTATTGGCTGTAAATAACATATAGTTCTGGGATTGTTATTACTAGGTTGCATCCTATATTCAGGGATCTAAGGGTAAGGATAATAAGAAGTATTCTAGGTTATTTTATGGCTTTCTGGCACCATTATGGCTGCTTCTAAGTAAAATAGTCTTAATGATAATGTTTTCTCTAGGACAGATAGATGTGCTTGCACAATAATTTAGCTGACCTAGTCAGAACAGATTCTTTTGGTTATCATATTATAGTTGGTGTAGTTTAAACATATTCCTCTGTTCTCTGTGTTTCTTATGAGTTGATAGATTGAGAGGCTTGAAGGTTTTGTTTTTGCTTTTTTGTTTTACAGTAATACACTTTATAGCTTTGTGTATTTCTGTCACAAGGCACAGTGATATATGGTTGTCTATTTTTGTGTGTGATATTAGCGCCACTGATGATCCTTTATTGTATACATTATTAGGCATTATAAATGGTGGTATTCCAATTATATCATTTTTTCTTTAGTTATTAGCTGGAATACTTTTAGAAAGAGAAACTTATCACTAATTTGTTTACACTGAGCTATAGCTCATTTAGGAAAAGGGTAAAGGCTTGATTCTTCCTCCTTATTTGCCAGTTTTTGAAATAATTCGGTTCTCTAGCATCCTCCAAAGTTGACCAACATTAACTTTTCTTGTTTAGCAATACAGTATATGATTTGTGTTTTATTCCTATATCCTTCTATGTGTGCATGTCTCTCCTCCCTCCTTTCTCTCTCTCTGTTCTTTAAATATACTTATTCTTTTGTCTCTTAAGTATGCTATTTTTCAAAACTCTTGTTTCACATGTGGCCATGTAGTTACACTTAGAGATTGTTGGTTCCACCCATTGTGAACACAAATTGTTTGAATTTAATAAGGTCCCTTGGGAATTCTTTTCAAGGCATTTGGAGGCAGAATCATAGGTAGAGCAAACTGAAAGGCTTACCCTTGTTTTGAGAACTAGCAAAGCTTTTTCATTTACTGTGACTCCAGGTGGAGAAGGATGTCTGTGGGGCTCAAAGTTGAGAATTTCCCTAAAGACTATATGCCTGTTGGATTACTACCTTTCCTGAATTTAAGCCATTTAAGTCTAACCCAAGTTCTTGGTTCATTAACCTTTATTTTCATTCTTATTTCCTAAGTTGATTGAAAAAAAAATCTCTTCAGAAACAAAAGTCCACGAAGTGACTGAAACATGAGTCATTCAATGTCCTGAGGAAATAAATATTTTTCCTGTAGTGAAAATTTATCCATCCTAATGTTGAGTTTTTAAGAGGCTTCCTGACCACAGTTTGTTAGAAGTTTTAACTCAGCACACACAAAAAACGTATTGGGATTAAAGCAACATCTGAGATACCTAGATTTCTTAGAGAATATTGAACAGCAGTACTGGTGAATTCTTATTACCAGATCATTTGGATATAAGCAAAGGCTGGGGAGAAGGGGGCTGACAAAAATAACATAGTCTAAGTACAGACACTATACTATAGAACTAACATTAACATTAGTGTCTACATTGTGCCAGGAATTGTCTAAGAGTTTTTGTATATTATCTTGCCTGGCATCATATAGGTAAGAATAGGGCCAGGATTCAAACTCTTATCCTTTTGATTATGTAGCATATGCTTTCCCCCTCCCCCCAATACACTGCATCTCAAAATGGTTTCGGTGATATGGAAAAGTATAGATTTGATCTACTAAGTTTCACTGTGTTGAGAACAGAACCTCATTTTAAGTATTTTGGTTTTTCATCTAGGGTATAGGCACAGCAATCGGAGAGCTGCCTCCATATTTCATGAATACACTGCATCTCAAAATGGTCTCGGTGATATGGAAAAGTATAGATTTGATCTACTAAGTGTCACTGTGTTGAGAACAGAACCTCATTTTAAATATTTTGGTTTTTCATCTAGGGTATAGGCACAGCAATCGGAGAGCTGCCTCCATATTTCATGGCCAGGGCAGCTCGCCTCTCAGGTGCTGAACCAGATGATGAAGAATATCAGGAATTTGAAGAGATGCTGGAACATGCAGAGACTGCACAAGTAAGAAAAGTGATGAAAAAATAGAACACTAATTATCCCTAAAAAGGTTATTATTAAGGTAAAATTGTTACTAGTTACTTGAAAAAGAAAACTGCCAAGTAAAAACAAAGTGAAATATGCCTTGGATAGAATATTCAGAAAAGCTGATATATAAAAATGATAATAATCTTGATCTTAGAATAAAGAATTACAGAAGAGTCCATAAGACAACTCATACTAAGCTGAAACACCTTGTCAGAAACCAGGGTAATTCATGTTGCCAATGATATTAAGGAGCTGAAACATATTTGTTCCATTAGGTGTTTATAAATATTACCAAGCAGACTGCTGAATGAGTAAAGGGGACAAATAGGTAAACCAGGCTCCGAGTCTAAAATAGAACTTCTGACTAAACTTTTCTAAAATAGCATCAAATATAGTTTACCATGTTTAGAGGGAAAAAATGTTTTGGAAACTGCTAATTAAAAAAGGACAGTTGGGATAAACATATTCTTTGTCATTTTTTCCCAAACATATTAGTAGCAAGATTGCAAGAAGTCATTTTCTCCCCAAAGTAACTTTTAAATGTCACCTATTTGTAAAAAGTATATAAAGATTCTACTCATTCATCAAGATGTTTTTTTAATGTTGCATTCTTCAGGTAGCCTTCAGAAAAACAAACTCCTATCTCACTTCATCTAAAATTAATCTCACCTTTCTCTGAACTTTGTACAACTTGATTTGTTTCTTTTTCTTTTTTTTTTTTTTTGTCTTTTTTTGTGTCCGGCAATGGCCCGCAACCCTCAGTGTCACGCCCGCACCGGACCGGGACCGGCAACGGGATCACAACCCTCGNAGCAAAGGCTGGGGAGAAGGGGGCTGACAAAAATAACATAGTCTAAGTACAGACACTATACTATAGAACTAACACTAACATTAGTGTCTACATTGTGCCAGGAATTGTCTAAGAGTTTTTGTATATTATCTTGCCTGGCATCATATAGGTAAGAATAGGGCCAGGATTCAAACTCTTATCCTTTTGATTATGTAGCATATGCTTTCCCCCTCCCCCCAATACACTGCATCTCAAAATGGTTTCGGTGATATGGAAAAGTATAGATTTGATCTACTAAGTTTCACTGTGTTGAGAACAGAACCTCATTTTAAGTATTTTGGTTTTTCATCTAGGGTATAGGCACAGCAATCGGAGAGCTGCCTCCATATTTCATGGCCAGGGCAGCTCGCCTCTCAGGTGCTGAACCAGATGATGAAGAATATCAGGAATTTGAAGAGATGCTGGAACATGCAGAGACTGCACAAGTAAGAAAAGTGATGAAAAAATAGAACACTAATTATCCCTAAAAAGGTTATTATTAAGGTAAAATTGTTACTAGTTACTTGAAAAAGAAAACTGCCAAGTAAAAACAAAGTGAAATATGCCTTGGATAGAATATTCAGAAAAGCTGATATATAAAAATGATAATAATCTTGATCTTAGAATAAAGAATTACAGAAGAGTCCATAAGACAACTCATACTAAGCTGAAACACCTTGTCAGAAACCAGGGTAATTCATGTTGCCAATGATATTAAGGAGCTGAAACATATTTGTTCCATTAGGTGTTTATAAATATTACCAAGCAGACTGCTGAATGAGTAAAGGGGACAAATAGGTAAACCAGGCTCCGAGTCTAAAATAGAACTTCTGACTAAACTTTTCTAAAATAGCATCAAATATAGTTTACCATGTTTAGAGGGAAAAAATGTTTTGGAAACTGCTAATTAAAAAAGGACAGTTGGGATAAACATATTCTTTGTCATTTTTTCCCAAACATATTAGTAGCAAGATTGCAAGAAGTCATTTTCTCCCCAAAGTAACTTTTAAATGTCACCTATTTGTAAAAAGTATATAAAGATTCTACTCATTCATCAAGATGTTTTTTTAATGTTGCATTCTTCAGGTAGCCTTCAGAAAAACAAACTCCTATCTCACTTCATCTAAAATTAATCTCACCTTTCTCTGAACTTTGTACAACTTGATTTGTTTCTTTTTCTTTTTTTTTTTTTTTGTCTTTTTTTGTGTCCGGCAATGGCCCGCAACCCTCAGTGTCACGCCCGCACCGGACCGGGACCGGCAACGGGATCACAACCCTCGGCGCTGCGCCAGCCCCTCGCTCAGCCAGTGAGCAGGAACCGGTCCGTATGTGGGATCTGAACCCTCGGGCGGGAGCGCTGCCGCGCTTCCCAAGTGGCGCACCATCCAGTGCGCCACCGGGCCGGCCCAGGACTTTCTTTTTAAATAGTATTTAACAATTCAAACTGTTCAGCAATTCAGACTAGTCTTTGCCTGGGTCAGATTAATGACTCTTTACCATTGAGTGTTCTAGAGAGGATCCTCAAAATGTGCAAAGTAACCTTCCAGAACAGACAAAAACTAAATTCCATGCTTAGGCAAGCTATAACGTAATTGGCTGAGGCTTTTTTGACCTGAGTACAATCTGTATAACAACCTCAATCTTAATGTTACAGAGTAGGTGTTTTATTCTTAGGAAAATTCCTAAGAACATTGTTATATGATTGAGTTGCCATTTTAGGGATGGCCTTAGAAATCAAAATACGTAGATGTAAGTAAAATGGACATACCAAAGAGATTTTTGAAAAATTATATATAAAATGCATCTCCCTCCCAGATTTGTTCATTAACCTATGAAATTGTTTGAAAATTTTCCTTATTGTTGTGTGTTTGGAAGTACATGTGCCCACATAACTGCAGACACATTTTTTTTTTTTTTGGTGGCTGGGCTGTACGAGGATCCAAACTGTGACCTTGGTGTTACAAGGCTATGCTCTAACCAAATGAACTAACAGGCCAGCCCCTGCACTCACATTTTTTTGAAGAATGAGTTCAGAGTTTTCTTTTCAGAGCAGTCTTAGACCTAAAACTTTATTATCCTGAATGGAAAAAAATCATATTTTAACATCAGGTGGACTTTTCGAAAAAGCATTATCAAATAGAAACCAAGGATAGTCATAGTTTTTAATTGAGAACAAAACATTCAAATATGAGTGTATTAGCCAAATATAAAACAAATGAAATAAAGAGCCAAGACCATCTGTTCTGCATGGAAAGAAGCAAGTTGTCCTCGTATCTGCTTTGCCTTTTTCACCTAATATTATGCCTCTCTTCCTGACATCATAATGCTTATATTCATGTTAATAATTATTTGTTATACTTCTCAACACGTTCGTGGTGCTTTGAGTAATCCTTTTTTTGTCTCCGTTACACAGTGAGAAGTGTAACAATTATTACTAATGTAAACAATTTTTAAGTTATTTTTAATGTTTCTTTAATCAAGTATCTAATATGATCTTTGTGTTAACTATGAGGTAGTACGGAAAGGTACCATTCTTCTGACTTTATAGAAAGCTGTAGATTTAGAAGTTATTTCCTCTCTCATTTCACATGCTTAGAGCCAGAACCAAAACTCAGAATGGCAGCATCACTGGTACGAGGGTACTTCAAAAAGTTCGTTAAAAAGTACAATTAGAAGATGATGTGAATCTTTCCATGAACTTTTTGCAGTACCCCTGTATATTTCAATTGCTGAAACCAGTCCATCTGCAGAAGTAGATAGGTGAGTATCCCTGCTTGGGATAACTGATACCTCCTTGGGTTGTGGCAATAATTAATATTCATCATTTAAGAGCTCCAAGACTCTTTTTTATCTATATGAAATCAGCAAATTGAAGTAGAATCAGGTAAGGTGGCTTGCAGCTATAAATTGTTATGCTATGATATGGATGCCGAATAGGTATAAATATTGTTTTCTCTTAAGCCAACTAATGTACTATAATTACTTTTCCTTTTTTAGAAGCTTTTTGTTTTTCTTGGAATTAACATTTTGTCATTAGCATAGTTTCTTTTAAATCTCTGGTTTGTCTTTCTCCCTTGTACTAACCCTGTGAAAACACCTCCTGATATCACTTTTCATTTGGTAACACCTATAGAGTACTATCAATTCTATTCTTTCATGGAATCATCATTTGGAAGCCCTCCATGTTCCACCCTCCAATCTGGACTTGCTGTTGTCTTTGCCTTCTGCACAGTTGCTTCTCTCTTGCTTTGGATTTCTTGTCTTCCCCTTTCTTGATTTACTCCCTCATTTTGTTTGAACACATTCTGCAGTAGCTTCCTGAGAAAAGGTCAGTAAATGGAAAATGTGAGACCTTACATTCTGTTACATTCTTACAAGCATGTTCTTCATTCATACATAGCTGATTGCCTGAATATAGGATTCTAGATTGAAAATCATTTTTTGTGCTTAGAATTTGGAAGGAATTGTTCAATTGTCTTCAGGCTTCGAATTTTGGCATTGAGAGGGCTGATGCCCTTCTGAGTCCTCTTTATAGGAGTCTGTTTTTGTTTTGTTTTGTTTTTTCTCTCTAGAAGCTTTTAGGTTCATTATCAGAGGGATGAGTCTTTTTAAAACTTATTCTGCTAGGTGTTCAGAAGATTTGTCAATCTAGAGTCCATTAGATTTGGGGAATTGTTCTTGTATTTTTTTTTATGAGTTTTCCCTCTTTAGTCCTTATTCTTGCTTCCTAGAATTCTAGTTACTTTAATGTTGGGCCTTGTAAGTCAGTAGGGAAAACACACACACTGTCTTTCCTCTGCTATCACAGCAAAATCATCAACACGGAAGACCAATTTCTGTGACAAAATGTGTGGAGACCTCTCCCACCAGCAAGTAAGCCAGCGATTCTTCAGTGGACACCAGCTGGGTATCCTCCAATTTAACTCTGATGCTATTTAGGTGGAGATAGTGTCAGATCCCGCAGGTTGAAGGCTCAGTTCCCAAGACTGCCCCCAGTCCAGATGCCAGTCACAAGTCCAGACCTTTGGAACTTCTGGCCAATCAAGGTTCCCACAGCGCCCTCCTTGGGTTTCATTCGTTTGCTAGAACGGCTCACAGAACTCTGAGAAACACTTACTTATGTTTACTGGTTTATTATAAAGGATAT